TTTGAGAAAAAAAAAAATAAGTTAGTTTTATTTTAAAATATAATCCAAGTTTTTTAAAAATCAAAATAATGGGTTTTAAAACAAAAAAAAATGTGTACAGATATTGCATGATTCATGAAAGGTGATGAGAAATATTATATGATTTAAAACAAAACATGACTACAAACCAAAGATTCAAGAATACGTTTTTATGTTATAAACAAACAACACATATACAACCAAAAACATATTTATCATGTTTTTTTTAAGAACCTACTAGTGAATGACCCCGTACTAAGTATGGGGAATCAGTAATGTTAAATTTATATTATGGAATCAATAATGTTAAATTTATATTTATTAATATTTTAAATAATTATTAAAATTTCAAGAAATTTTTATTTCAAACTATAATTTTTCAATAATTATTAGAATATGGATAGTTTTCTTTTGTTATGATACTTAAGGGGTTAATGATTAATTGAGATTGATATATTGTAGGCGAAAGTGGTTGTTGATAACTACTTTTACATTTTCTGCACTTTTTAGGAATTGATTGAAAATGGTGGTAGTGGGTTGTTGGCTTTAGTAGCAACTTTTCAAAAAATGTTACATGTCTAGCTTTTCACAAAAATGAGAAGGCCATGTGTCTGAATGGTGGGGGGCTATAGCTTAATTGTGGGTTGTGGGCCTAAGTATAAATTTTTTAGAAATTGCCATGTGTCTAGCTTTTTAGAAAATGAGAAGGCCACTTGTCTGAATGGTGGTAGTGGGCTTTAACAACAACTTTTCAGAAAATGCCATGTGTCTAAATTTGAAAAAGCCACGTCTGAATGGTTGGAGTTGTAGCCTAAAAGCCTTCCTTTAATATATATAGTTTTAATTTGTTTTTGAAACTTACAACAAGAAGAAACAATTCACATTGAAAACACCCCCTAAGGCTATGTTTGGTTTGAAGGAAATATCAGGAAAGGAAGGGAAAGACAGGGAAACCAATACAAGGGTTGTAATGGTTTTCCTACCTTTCCCTCCCTTTCCTTACATTTTCCTTCTAACCAAACATAACCTAAATTTCTATTGAAAAACTTGAAATTTAGGCCCATTATGTTGGAAGACCGGTCATTTCTTCATTTGCCCTTAGGTCACAAAGTATGAGAACTTGGCTTGATGGTAAAACCGCCCGATTTGAATGGACAAACCATTCTAACAAAAAAAGTTTAAAAATAAAAAAATTAATTAAAATAAAAAATGACCAAAAATCATTGAATGGATCAATGATTTGACCATTTGGAAAAATGGGTCGTTGACCAATTAAACGGTTTTTGGTCAATGACCAAATTTATAATAAAATGGAACTGATTGTCTAAACGGTTTTTGGTACGAACAGTTGGATCGTCCGAGTCAAGAACAGTTTGAAAACATTGCTAGAAAGAACCTCCGATATGTCATGCAAGACCCATGGATCATGAAGTTTGAACCCATGGAATCAAGCTTTTCCACCATTGTTGAAGAAACATTTTGAGCTAAAAAGAAAATGAAAATGAATAGAGTAGAAAAAAGATTCCATCTTATTGGCTCCTAAACTTATGGAAGATTGAGTATGCTAATTAGAGTAACAGTATATAGCCCTAAAGGAGGGGACCAGGTGCCCTAGATGAGCAGTCCAGATCTTCTATGGCATGAGAATATGGGCATTTTCCTTCGGTCTTTTGGCACTTTCTTTGCAAAGCATCTCTAGGGCTTGGGTGGTCACAACTCAAGATCTAAACAACAGCTTTTGTACTGTCGCCAGACACAAACTTTGTTCTTCAGTATATCCCATACCAAGTGGTTCAAAACTCACTGACCCAGACAATTCAATGGATCCAGTAGGACCCATTTAACTTGTTCAAAATGCAGCCATCTCAACCGTTGGTGAAATGGGATCAGTGATGGACCACCCCATTCTTTGATTTGAATCGACAGGTGGGGCCTGTGGCACGTGTAGCCTCAGTACTTGACTGACAGCCAAGGTCTTGTCCATCATCTCCTGCTCTTTGCTGCATCTATCTTGTTTGAAATACAGGAGATAAGCTTGGTGGAATAAAAAGAATACAAGAAAGAAAAAAAGAAAAGATGTCACAACTCACATGTATCATGAAATCTCTGGTGTTAGACTCTTTTTTTCTTCTGTTGTTATCCACTATTAGAGGCCATTGGATCTCCAAGTCACCCTTTAAAAAGATAAGGAAACCTGGCCAAGTCTGAGATGAATTCAAGTCAAGAGGATTCTGGGATGGTACTTTTGCCAAGTCTCTTGACTCTCTTCTTCATACTTCAAACTTCAAACCATGTTTTTCTCAGCATTATCTGAACCTCCAAAAACAATTAATCTGAAACCTTCACAGAATCACACTTTCTATATGGAACCTGGAAGCAACAACTTTTCAAATCTCTCAGTTTTCTTTGATTACACACTTAAATCACCTCAGTTGCTGTTAGAATCTAGCTGGAGGTTGAACCAGCCCAGTCAACAAATGGGGTGATGACTATGGTTTAAAGTATTGATGTATCTGATACACATGTTCATGCATATCGGGTGTTTAAATGGCACATTTAATATAAGGAGAATGATGGTTCAGCCCAGTGTTAGAATTTATAGGCTCGAAATACATTTGGGGTAGATGTCAGTTCGAATTTATACTAGTTCAATATAAGTGTATAAAGTGTGGGTTTTATGTTTATAGTTATGCAGTGGAAATTAAAAATTTACATTGGGTCTGTCCGTACTTCTCCTTTTAATATATTCTTTTTTCAAAATTTTACGGGAATCAGCCTTAACCATGCATGTCTTTGGAAATAAGAAAACCCATTATACAATACATTCAATACATTGCCATATTTTGAACCTTGGTGATCAATAAAACAAAAAATTCAATTTACCAGAGATTCAATGGATCAATTGTTTCAACTATGTGGTTCAATGATTCAGTTGGTGTGAATAATATCTACAAATGAAATAAAAATTAGGGGTTGCAATTCCTAAACCCAGCTGGTTTTTGTTCCCAGTAGGGTTTGGCTCATTCCAACTTGATTTTTAACTTGCCACGTGGCCGAATCGCAACCACCCATGTGCATGTGTGTGTTCAACCACAGACCACCACCCAAACTGACCCTCCACAAAATTGACAAAACCCAGATTTGTGATAAAAAATTAGACAACTTGTCCTTGTTTTCCAGCACAGTACTGTTGGCTAATCTAGATTGGGTTCCAAACTTGGGTTCAGCTAGGGCTGGGCATTTTAGCGCAACTTGACAAGGGCTTTACTCAGCCTATCTAAGAGAAAACCCATTGGCTCCCCTAGTTTAGACCAAGCAATTTAGAGCATAAAAACCATTCCCAACTCATCCAGTTCAATTAATCAGAAGTTCCATTTCATGTACAACTATTGCTAGGCCAATCCAACTGAGAATCCTTCACTCAGTAGCTTGTAATGATACTAAGAAGCTAAGAAGATAGGATTTTGTGATAGCCAATCTCAAGCAGTTGGATAAGATTTCTTCCATTAATTAATGGATGTAATCTCTTGGTTCCAATTGAGGGCCCTTATTGATGAGATTTGACTACTGTAGTTTTCTTCCTCTTCATTCTCCAACCGATAATTATGCAACTAGACATGGAGGTGGACCCACCATGGAATAGAAGGTTAGAGAGAGAGAGTAAAAAACAAATATTAAGGGTAAAGAATAAATATTATATAAAATTAATATTTTATTTTTAATTGTATAGTCTTTTAACTAAAACTATGGAAAAAACAATAATTAAATTGTAGAAAATTGAGTATTTAATTAATTTTTGAACCACAAAATGAAAAGCATGGCCGAAGACATGCCTTGTCAGATATTTTATTAAAATATCCTACCAAAAAATTAGGTTTCTAATGGGTGATGATGCCCTCCTTAGCAAGCAAACCCATCCTGACCCCTCCTCAAACTCAACCCACTTGATTGGAATCCTCAGTCCACAAGATTAACCACAAGGGTGGAGGGGGATTTTATCATCAAAAGGATCAAGATAGAAGATTCCAAAATAAGGAAGAGTGTGCAATTCAAGATGTGAGGCATGAAGTATTCTATCAATCTCCTAGCTGAAAAGTTCCAATCCAACAGTTTTTATCATTGGAAGGATAAAAATCCAACAGAGGAGGAGCCCACCAATCTGGCCCCCTAGAAACCCTAGAGAACACTAGAAAAATGACACATGGTATCAGTATCAGTCCATCAGAAACAGGAGAAACCACACCAAAATCCTAATCTTCGTTTATTCTAATCATAAGCCATTGAACCTCGAGTGCCCAACGTATGACAACGATCCGCCACACAAAAGCGGAGCAAAAGGTACCAAAAAGGTTCAAATCATTGCTCCACCACGCGCCAGATCCAAAAAACAGCCATCTCTCTACATCCATGTGAAATATCCTGTTAACAATAAAGTTCATGCCACGTGGGACCTAAAAATCTCCATCTACCAATCGGCTTTAGCCACGTCATCAGATAAAGTTCGTAGGTTGTACGTGACTGGTATATCTTGGGAGGAGAGAGAGAGAGAGAGAGAGACAGAGTGAATCCCATATGGCTATATATTTTACCCACAAAGGGAAGTTGCGGTTGTGCCATTTTTACCAAAACACCCTCACTTACGTCACAAAATTACACTTGCTAAACTTGATAACCAACCGGGTTAGTTTGTAGCTTGTTTATAGGGTGGGTCCGCAGAAAAACTTGATTGGACCCAGCGCCACCAATCAATCCACCATTGATTCGGGTCATGTAGAAAACTCAGACTTTAATCAAATTCGGCGAATTTGGTGAAGGGTAATATTGTTAAAAGAAATAAGAAGAGGGTCATTTTGGTAATTGAACTGGATAAAATAATTGCACTGCTGAGACAGGTACAGAAGAGAGCAAAAACCAAACGTGGTCCAGAGACTCCCAGGGCAAAAAACTGGTGAAAACGAGCTTTGTCGCTTTCTCTGTTTTCATCGCCAACACTCAACTCCTCTTTGTATCTAATCTGATCTCTCCACCTGCGAGAGAGAGAGAGAGAGTCCAGAGGGAGGGTTCTGCGGTTTCTACACCGCTTAACGGAACATTTCTTTTTCACTGTTCTGTGCTGCCTCGTGACTCACTGAGCAGAAAAATCCTCCTCTCTTTAAATGATGTTTCCCCATCGTCTCCCCCTGTTTTTTTGCTAAATTTACTGTGATGTCGAAATTTCGACCTTCTTTTATCAATTCCCTATTGGTAACTTCCCACTCTGAGCCTTTTCTTATTCCTTTGGAGCAAAGCCCATCTGAGGATAGGGCCGATAGACTGGATTCTGGGGTTCTGTGTACTCTTCCGGATTTCTCCAAGTGGGTATTTAGGGTTTTGGCAGGGTTACTTCACTTTTAGTTTCAGTAGGAGATATATAGAGTACATTGTTCTGGAGTTCGAGCTGGGTTTTAGGGTGTTTGGGATCTGCTTGGCTCTTCGTTTACAGAGATAGATAGATGTTCTAAAGGGGTAATTCTCTTGTTTCCGAAGCCAAAACTTTCTCCAATTCTCTAGATTTGAACTTTCCTGGACCCAAACTATTGGAATTCGAAGTGGGTATCTTAGAACAGAGAGTTTTGATTGACAGGTTTTTGCAGAATCCTATCTCATTTTTAGTGGGATATTCAGATTCTAGCTTCTTCCTCCCCTGTTTTTAATTTCTTTACCTTCTTGTAAATGTTTCTTTTTTGGGGGTACTTTTTGGCTTTTCTGTTCTTTCTTTTGTATATATTCTACGACCTTTGATAAGACTTTTGGGGTTTAGGGTTTTGTACTTTTCTATATATTCAGTCTCTGCAACTAGTCTAGTCTTGTTTGGTATACTTCCTTTCCCCTTTCATTGCAATTCAGTTAACTGTAAGCCTCTTTCAGTTCCTGTAGCCTTTTCAAATCTTTCCTTTGCTTCCTTCTTGATGCACTTAGATTTTGAATTGGGTTCTCAGTGTTCTCCTTCTTGGTGCAATTGGATTTTGGCCTGAGATTTTTATCTGGTTCTCAGGGTCTTTGAATTCTAGCTTGGTTTTGAGCTAATAGGTTTTCTGTTACATTCCATAGTTAGCTCAATTCAGTTCTTTTTCTGCCAGATTTCCAGCACTTGAATATCACCTAATTCTCGGGACCATTCCCTGAATTTGTTCAAGCTTTTGTAGTTTACTCTGAATCCTTTCTGGGGTTCTCTTAGTTTCATCTGCAGTAATTTGAGGGGTTTGAGGCTTTCTCAATTGACAATGTCTTCGTGCTTGAGTGGTGGTGGGCGGACATATAGCTTCGAGCTTGACATCATCAAATCCCCATCTACCTCGTCCAGAACTTCTCAGTCCTCTTCTCCCTCTTCAACCGTCTCTGAATCTGGCAATTCTCCCCTTACAATCTCTACCCGGAAACGAGCACCTCGAAAGCGTCTGAACCAAGCCTACAACGAAGCCGCTGCTCTCCTCTCCACCATCTACCCCAACATCTTCTCCACAAAAAGCCTCGGAAAGCCCTGCAAACACACCAAAGTATACGACTTCTTCTCTGAAGAACCGTCCGAATTGCTCCCGCCCTTTCCGGGCCTCGACACAGCCGGATTCCTACTACATCAACTGGCCCCCGAAAAACCCACTTTCAGAATCGAGTCAAAGCCTGCGAATTCAGGAGAAAAGCCATGCCAAAGCCCGTCAGAGAACGATTGCCCAGTGAATTCTTCGAGTCCATGTAATGAGTATGAGGAGGATTTCGATGCGGAGTCAATTCTCGACGAGGAGATGGAAGAGGGAATCGACAGCATCATGGGGAATCTCAGCGTCAACAACAATTCATACGATGAATCCAATACGTCCTGTTACAGTGGCCAAATCGATACTTGCTACGCAAATCCAACGGAGTTGGGTTTTGGCGGGAAATTCGAACTTGGGTTCGGGATGGTTGGAGGAGTCCGAGCATTGAGACACGTCGACGATGGAGATTGGTGGAGGTTCCCAGCAGTTGATGTTCTTTCCATCTCGCCCAAATTGAACAGGGCTTCATCAGAAAAGGAGAAAAAGAAGAAGAAGAACAAAGTGGAACAGAAAGAAGAAACGAAGGACTCTGCTTCCCCTGCAGACACATCCAACTCCAACTCGAACAAATCAAATCCCAAGTCGGGTCTGTCGCTGAAATTGAATTACAACGAGGTTATTCTCGCATGGTCCGATCGTGGGTCGCCGTTCTCCGACGATACCCCGACAACCGATGCCTCAGAATCCGACATTCATGTACGTTTCTCATTTCCCACCGGAAAAAACCGAAGGTGTAGCACAATTTAAAGTTTTCGGAACCAAAATCCTAAAACACGCCTGATGCGTATTTACACATCGTTTCGTGAAGGACCGTGTGGCGTTCGCACTACGCACCCGACGTATTATAACATCTCCAAACTGAAACTTTTTCAAGATTTACCTACCGTTTTGCACTACTTTTTTAAGTTTTTTTTGTCAAAAATAGTTTCTGGGCTTTTCTCGGGTGAGGCGATTCAGAGTTCAGACTCATACTTTGTATGTGGTCCATCTTGTCTAGCACTTAATTCGGCCCATGGGCCCCCAATAAGTGCCCAGTACGCAGTACAACAGTACTGCTTAGTTTTATTTGCAAGTTGCAACTTTGCAACCGCTTAGTGAGGATATTTCGGTCGTATTATTTTAAAAAATATTTTGGAATTTGACCAAAAAGCCAGAATGTTTTTGAAAATGACTAAAGTACAAGTTTTCTTTCACTTGGCACTTGGCAGGCCAGACTCGCTCAGATCGATTTGTTTTCAGAGAACGGAGTGAGAGAAGCCAGTGTGTTGCGGTACAGGGAAAAGAGAAGGACGCGTCTCTTCTCCAAGAAGATCAGATACCAGGTCCGCAAGGTCAACGCTGATCGACGGCCTAGAATGAAGGCAAGTCCTCTCAGTTCTGACACTCTTTTGTGAGACACGTGGCACTTAATCAGGTCCACGTGGCATGTAGCTCCTACATCCAAACTTCTGTGATGCATGCATGGGTGTCTCGCATGCATATAGGAGATGGGGCCCATATCTCTCTTGCTTTCTAATTCTGCTTCTGGCTTCGGGAAGCTGGAAGTTGGAGGTTTCCACTGGTGGGATCCACACATCCAGCATGCCATGGTTCTGGGTCTCTCTGAGATTATACAGATGGCAACATTCTGTGTGCCTGTGAAACATGGAGAACCTTCAAAGTTCAAATCTGAATACATATAATGTGAATAAACGGTTAGGATCATCTGGGTGACTGTCATTCTTGTCACGATTATGTCTTGTGTCGCAGGCGTGATGTTTCTCAGCCCTTGTTGCAGTGTTGCACATGTAATGTTACTCACTTATTCCTCTTTTCATGTTGGTTGGGCTGGATGTGAACAAAGCTTGACACCAATCCAACGGTTAAATGTTTGCCCTCATGTGAGTGGTCTCCCTCTACGGCATCATGATGATGATGATGCCCATGACCATGAGGTTGCATAATGTTATTGTAATGGGGTTATGATTTGAAAGTAAAATCTATGGGTGAAAAATGAAAAGTAAGTAGATCATTGGATTCTCTACATAATTGGTAGCTTTTTGATTTATTGTGCAATTTTTATATTATATTTTAATTTTTATGTAATTCATTTTTACTTCTTTTTTTTCATTCTTTTATAACTTTTTGAACCTTTATGGATATAGTTTAAATATTCTGAAAGCAAAAAATGTGCAATTACACTCAAAACATAGCATCCAACTGCATATCAATAATATTTTTCATACTTGTATGTTAAATTTAAGGCTGCAACTTGGGCCTGATTAGTCCTAACCCAATCCAAAAAAGTGGGGTTGGGCTGGGTCGGGTTGATGCTCAGTTAGTGTTAGGTTGAAATTCATGAACCCAACTTTACTTCGGATTGGATTAGGGTTGATCTCTTAAGTAGTCCGATTCTATAATATGTCATATATAAATATATGTTATATGCAATATATAACATATATTGATTTGTTTAGATGCATATTTATATAGCCCCTACCATATAGTATCATGTATTTCTTTTAAGATAATCACATCACTTAGTCCTAATCAGAAAGATTAAAACCTTAGTAACATTATTTTATGTTTTTTGAAAATTTTATTCTTCATCTCCTCTCTGTTGTTTGTCGCCCATAAAAAATTTACCATAAGTCATAACTCATAATAAACTATAGTCATTTCTAACATTTGTTTTTTCTGAATTTTGTACCAAAAGAACAAAAAAAAAGTCAACAAACAAATATTAATGAAACATAGGATTAATATATATAGTGAAAGTTGTATTTAGATCTAAAATCAAGAAATTCTATGAGGTTATAAGGGATGAGAATAAGGTTGAATTGGGTTGGGTTAGATTGGGTTTGGATTGAAGGAATTTAGTTAGGATTAAGATTAGGGTTGGATAAGTCAGATTGGTTTAGGATAAGAATTGGGGGTTTTGAACTTAAAATTGAGCTAGAGTTGGCCTCAACCCGACCTAACCCGCCCGACTTACAGCCCTAGTTAAATTCATGAAAAGATATTTCTCACGTTCAGCCCGATGTCTACACTTTTTGTTTTCAGAAAATTCCATCTCCTGGAGGTCCCCCGATCCCCTGTCAAGACACTTTTTTTCTTTTTATAATATACATACTTTCCATGGTCAGTGACCATAACAGAAATCCACATGAGGTCCCCTAGGCTCTGCCCCTGCTAAACCCATAACACTCAACCCTAGTGAATGTGGAATTCAATCCTAAAATCTCTTTACATCCAGCCCAAAACCCTGTTTAGCCAGGCCAGTTGGAACCAACAAATAAATTCGGGTGAATAGATGAGCCTACTTTTGGAATTTTGGTTCAAAGAATGGAATTGAATAGAAGGGCATCATTATAATCTTGCAAGCACTTTTCTAATAACAAACGCCTAACATAAAGGTGTAGAGGTATTGGAAGGTCAGGGTAAGTTGAAAGAAAACCAGAAAGGTGAAAGGGTGTTTCACATGCATGCCACTTTACAAGAATGCCCTTTAATGGTACTTCAGCATAGTAACTAATTGGGTTTGTTGTTTGGATGCAGGGTCGGTTTGTTAGGAGGCCAAACTCAACATTGGGTGGTGGTCAAAAGTGAAGGGGAAGTTGTATGGGTTGTGAGCATGCTACTCCTTTTTCTCAATCTTCCTTGCATCTTTAGCAATTTTCCTTTGAGTTCTTTTTTAGAGAGAGAGAGAAAGAGAGAGGAATCTGAATTGATGGAAGAAATCACAGCACTATAAGTTTTGTTCACAATTTTTTCTCACCTTTTTTATTTGTTTTCTTTGTCTCCATAAAATGTTCAGGCTACCAATTTGATACAAAATGTGAATGCCTTTTGGTGGAGAAAATAGTTTTGTTCTCACTGAAAATCACACAAATGAAAGCATGTTGAATGAAGTTGTATTGGGTTGGTTACTTCAGAAAAGAAAAAAAAAGCATTGAAAAGAGTGCTTGTGCATTCTAGCAAGAATGTTTGTTTCCTTGATCTTCACTTGATTTTTTCTCGGGTTTTCCTTGTTCTATCTTAAATTTAATTTAGATTTGTTCAAGGCTCAGATGGGGCTATTTGGGAGCTTCCCTATATATCAAGCAAAGGTTTGAATTGATAGTAGAAGTGTAACTAGGGCAGGTACGGGTTGGGCTTTTGTCAAATTTTGAATGGACCTCTTCGAAAGGCCCAAGCCCAAAGCAGTGTAGAATGCTAATTTGGACCTACTGGACTAGACTGGTCTTGGTGTTAGATATTAGGCCCTGTGTTTGGTTAGATAATCAGTTCGGGACTGATCTGGTTTTGTTCTGATTAATAATCAGTTCGAGATTGGTACAGGCTGTTTTCAGAACCATACCTGCCCTGTTGATAGCCTTAAGCCCAACATGGATAGCTTATAAGCTATACTATTTTGTAAAAGAAAATCCAGAGAGTCCAAATTGGCTGTTAATCAGTCATTTGAATGACTACATACTTCAACTTCTTTGAATAGCTTATCTGAAGTACTTTAAAGCAGCAGAATTAGCTTAGCTAAATCTTCAGCTCAGTCCTCCCAAACAGGCCGTTCATGTACTTTCCATAGCTTATGGTTCAAGTCAATTAAAAGTCTATTTTCTCAGCTCTATCAACATATTTTTGTTTTCTTTTCCAGTTTCTTCAGTGTAGACAATTTTAATTAGTAAGATAAAGATATAAGTACACACCAAGAGAAAGGTCTAGACTGTAGGGCACAACTTGCAAAGTGATTGGTAATTTTCTACTATGTATGCAGTTGGGACAGGAAAATTTGGGCCAATTCAGGGCCCAGTCCTAAAACATGATTCCCAACCTACGGCCTAGACTAACCCAATGTAAAGTTCAAACTTGGCAGACAAAGCCCAGACTGATCTGAACCCAAACAAATATTAGACTTGATCAAACCCAGCCGGGTTGGTAGACCTGGCCCACCTGTGTACTTTCTTTGTCAGATTGGGTAGAGGAGGCACTTCCATGGAGTCTTCCAATCAAGGTTCAAAGTATCAGAAATGCAAGGTGTATCGGAAAGGTAATTTTAAGAAACGTATCAACATACGCTTTGGAAACGTATAGATACAGACGAAAAATCAAGATACACATGTATATACTAGAAAATTCAAAAAAATCCTTAAAAATATGAACAATAATAAAAATGAGTTTTATGTGAATATAACTAATTTATTTAAACATAAAAACCATTCTTTAATGATTTATATAAAGTATCGGGATATAATTAGTAACCATTGAAAAATAATAGAAGAACTAAAATGTTTGTATATATACTAATATTTATTAGTTAATATTTTTTTGAAATAATTTATTATATATAGAATTAGATAATATTTATTATGTATACAGGTTAATATATACCTTAATTTTTAATAAATCAATTTAACTTGTATTCATCTTATTATTATATAAATATTAATAATCAAATTTATAGCATTTGTCAGGAAACATCCACCAAGGTAAGAAATATTACTTTAAATATAAAAAAGTATGTCTTTTTAATAAGTAATTAATGTTGGCATAATGATTAACTAATTATTGTTATAAGCAAATGACTTGGGTTCAAAACTTGTTACATCTGGTTTGTGATTTTTAATAAGTTATTTCACTTATGCGACTGATACATAATGCGTATCGGTCCGTTTTGGGTATGTATCAGCGCGTTTTGGATAGCATCGACCGATACATACATGAAACGGCCCGATACAAAACCGATATGGACTCGTATCAATCCAATACAAATGAAAAAATACGAAACTCTATAATTAGACATATTCCATATATCGAAACTCTTCCAAAACGATACGTATCAGCCCATATACGTTACGAAATTTAAAACCTTGCTTCCAACTTCTACTTCTTTGGCTGAAGCGACATAGGTAAAAGCTAATAAGACTGCTAACTTACGTTGCAATAATGCAAGTATACAACAACGATAAGGGTATAGTACGATCAAGGTTCAAAGGTTATTGGGCGTATCTATCATTCTGGCAGGTCACGGATAATCCCTTTTTTCAAAAGGCTTTTTTTTCCAAAAAAGAAAAAAAAACATGGTTTTAATTGTTAAACAACACTAGTAAAATCTCTTTATCAAAATATAAAAATAAATGTTGCAGAAAATGCAAGGAAAATGTATTTGAATGGCACCCAAAAATGAAAGAAAATATAAATAAAGAGAAGAGAAATAAAAAAAATACATTAATTTACATGATTCGACCTATAACCTACTTTTATAGACAAAAAATAGAATAAAAATTCACTAAATAGTCAGCAATGGAGAAGACATCTAGAGTTTTTTTAGAAGAAATAGAGTTATGCACTCACAACATCACCACTCATAAAAAAAGGATAAATTTCTTAAACTACCGTTTGAAAATTGGCTAACACTATCTTTATTATTTCTGACAAGTGACTTATAAATTTTTTCAAAATCCAATATTACCCTCGTCTCATGAATCCTCACTCTCTCTCTCTCCATTCTTAAACCACCCCTTCCCCGTCTGCTTCTCTCTGACCTCCCCCTCCACCTCTGGTCTCTCTCTCCCCTTCCTAGAAGAAAAAGAAGTGGAAGCTTCTGAGAAGGAGTCAGAACTCAGAACATCCTCATAAAATGTACAGTGTATTGTACGGGAGAAACAGAACAAGCAAAAGCAAATCTCACTATCTTCCGTAATAACGGCGTTCAAATCGAACCTTCAAATGACAAAACCAAACTGTGAAGTAAATTGAACTTCAAGAGCTCGGCAGAGGAAATGAGGTGGTTTCAGATTAAAGAAGAAAACGAGGAAACGACTATCACAGGAATCATCTACAGGAATTCAGCTTGGCATATTCATGTCCAATCAGGACGATCAAATCACGGAAATGTCATGGTAGAAGGCTTAATAATGCTGAAAGAGACACCGATGCTCAGTACATATGTATTGTTATCAGCAAAGCCAAATGACATTAATCTGCCTGAATTTGATCTCCGAAGACCTCCAATAGCAAGGCCTTAGCAGAGTAGTAAGCAGACCCAAATTCAAAAGAAATCAACCACAAATTTTGAAGTCAATAAATATGGAGATGAGAGAGAGAAGCGCGAAGACGAGAGAAAACAAGGTTTTGAACCACCTCAGCTGCTATCGAAATCTGTTTACCGCCGCTCACAGCTGGTTCACCTTTGTTTTCGTTCACCTCTGTTCACCGCCGCTCTTCACCGCTGCTCATCGCCTCTGGGTCACCTGTTGCAGCGGCGGATCTGAACATGGAGTGCCGCTGCCTAGAGAAAGAAGAGAGAGAAAGAGAGAGGGGTTTCACAGGGAGTTGCAGCTGCCGTCACCGTCGCCCAGAGGAAGAAGATAAAGAAAGAGAGAGAGATTCAGAGGGGGTTGCCACCGCCACCGCCGCCTCTATTCGGTTCACTCGTTCTCTGCTTCTTCGACAGAGCACTCCATTGTCGTTGAAGAAAGAGAATGAAAGGTGCGACGGTTCATTCGTTGCTTCTCAGAAATAGTGGGATAAAATAGTCTTTTTCGTCTTTCTATTAACAATTTAAGGGTAAGGAAAGTATTAGCCAATTGTCAAAAACAATGGATACTGCTAATTAATTTTAAAACAGTAAAGATATATTTAAGTAAAGGTAATTTAAAAAATTTATCCTTAAAAAAAACCTAATAGACCCAATATCTCATTCTTTTCTATTAAGTATACAAAAGGGAAAACCCAAAAAATATGAAAATTTTTATATTCAATTCGGTTCCATAAATTGAATTTGGATCGGATCCATCTACTATGAAACAGAGCGAATTTATGAAGCAGGTTATCAATCATCACAAAAAATTCAAAACACAAACAAAACAATAATAAAAAATTAAAACAAAGTTGTGGATCGACTCGAAACATTTAATATGCATGTTTGGCTATTGGGTGTATGATACTTTGAACCTTAGTATACCAATATACCAATACCAGTCTTGTTATAGTTAGAACCAAATGGAGCACCGATATTTCTTTGTGCAAACAGCACCAATATTTTTTTGTGCAAACTTGTCATATGTCATGCAAACAGGGACATAGTTACGTGTATCTGAATAGGGTTGGCCCATTAAAGTTCAAAAAAATAATTGAAAACCTGTATTGTTTCAGCCCAACTTTTCCCTGGTGTTAAATGAAAATTACACTGTTTTCAAAATCGGATTGGATTGAGAAAACTGGGAACCGGTCACCGGTTTCGTTTTCCTCCAAAACCACTTTTCTCCTCAAAATCGTTGATTTTGGTTACTAAACCGTTGAACCGGCCAGTTAATTGTTCGAATGGTTTTGACCGTTTTCCAATTTTTTAATTTTTTAATTTTTATTTTTTTTGTCAAAACAGGTTGATCGTTCAGGTCAAACGGCCGAACCGTTCGAACCAGTAACCGGACCCCTGACCAGTTCGGTCATTGGTTCGTTTTTTGAAAACCATGGAAAATTATTAACACTTACCTCCTTCAACTTTCTTTTGAGATAAATAGTCCCTGAACTTTCAAAGTCCAATACTTTGCCCCCTCCTTACCATTCCCTTAATTTTGAAAAAAGATTCTAATATGAGTTTAATGTCATGTGTTTGTTAAACATTTTTCAAGTTCTCAAATTATCCTTTCCTCAGTTTTTGCAATCATTTGTCCTCCTCCTTATATATTTTTATAAACTCTTAGGTCTCTTTCTTCTTTATCATAACAGAAAAAGCACAATGCAGATCGATTTAGGTGGTGGAACCAGTTTCATTTTTTGAGAAAATGGTGTACATTGACATGCCGTTACACCATTGTATTTTTCAATGCCATGTCAGCATGTGTTGCTAGCAACATTAAAAATTTGAGAAATACTAAAAAGGGTGTTTTCTCAAACCACACCTTTTTCGATTTCCAAAGCGTGATTTGAAGAATTTTTTTTTTTTTTGGAAAAATGCATAACCAAACATCAAGCATTGTTTG